GCTTACATTATAATCGGATATATTTCTAGTTGTTGTATTATTTTCGTACTTGTTTGTATTCTCCCAAAAAAAAAAAACTTGAAAATCTCTATAAGCTTATGCGTACCCCTCTTTCATTCACCCTATTATTTGGTTACATTTTTGATTTACGAACAAATAACTTTATTTTATTAATTTTACAATCTATCTTGAAGGAGAATGCTGAGAACGGAGCTCTGCGCAAATTCTACGAAGTTATAATGGACAATGGAGGAGCAGTTCTGGACGACATCAATAGCCTGACGGAAGTGACCATTTTGGCTCCCAGCAATGAGGCTTGGAACTCCTCGAACATCAACAATGTTTTGCGGTAATGTTGCTCAATTCGGGAAGAACTTATTATACAGTATAACAATAATAAAATACATCTTTCAGAGACCGGAATAAGATGAGGCAGATCCTGAACATGCATATCATCAAGGACCGCTTAAATGTGGACAAGATCCGGCAGAAAAATGCAAATTTGGTGAGGCGTACATGACGTTTTACTTCAATAAACATTTTTTACAATCTGCCATTCTTGTCAAAAGATTGCCCAGGTGCCCACTGTCAACAACAACACCTTCCTGTACTTCAACGTTCGTGGTGAGGGATCGGATACCGTAATTACAGTTGAGGGTGGCGGCGTTAATGCCACCGTTATCCAGGCTGATGTGGCCCAGACTAATGGCTATGTTCACATTATCGACCACGTGCTGGGCGTGCCTTACACTACAGTTCTCGGCAAACTTGAGTCCGATCCCATGATGAGGTATGTTTGATTTAAAAGCTTTCAAAATACGCTGTTTACATTTTACCGTATTCCTCAAGTGACACCTATAAGATGGGAAAATTCTCGCACTTTAACGACCAGCTGAACAACACACAACGTCGCTTCACCTACTTTGTGCCCAGGGACAAGGGCTGGCAGAAGACCGAGCTGGATTATCCATCGGCTCACAAGAAGCTCTTTATGGCCGACTTTTCCTATCATGTAGGTTTTTACCCTAAGCCTGTGTTCTTTTATGCTCAAAATGTTTTGTAACCGCAGTCCAAGTCCATTCTGGAGCGTCATTTGGCTATTTCGGATAAGGAGTACACCATGAAGGATCTGGTCAAGTTTTCGCAAGAATCGGGAAGCGTTATCCTGCCCACGTTCCGTGACTCCCTGAGTATCCGCGTGGAGGAGGAAGCTGGACGTAAGTATACCATGTTGGATGCCAAGGGCTCAGTTGCTTCTCCTTTCAATTCAAGTCGATTCGATTCACCTAATTTGATTGATTCTATTGGTCCTCCCCTACCGTGCTGCATTACTAACCGAACCTGTTTTTCTACAACTCTCGAAATAAATTTCTCGCTTTCTGCTTAACTAAATCTAATCGTTGTCCAATCGAAAGATCTCCATGATGAGTATGCTAGTCACGAATGGACTGGTGAGTGCTGTCCTTTTTCAAACCCACATCGCACCGCCCACAACAAAAACCTCGACCTGGCCATGTCCACCCATAGCTCGCTCATTGGGCAACCCACTAGCATTAACCTCCCATTGATTGCATACAAATTGTCCTTTCAACCTACCACCTTTAACAACGACTACTTCCACTTGCAGGCTATGTGATCATCTGGAACTACAAGAAGATCAACGTATACCGGCCCGATGTGGAGTGCACCAACGGAATCATCCACGTCATCGACTACCCACTCCTAGAGGAGAAGGATGTGGTCGTGGCCGGAGGTAGCTATTTGCCAGAATCAAGCATTTGCATCATCTTGGCCAACCTCATAATGATAACAGTAGCAAAGTTCTTGAACTAAATGCATCCGATATGTAAAAACCAATCCAATCCAAAGCAAATGCAAATCAAACACAACAACAACAGTCGTCTACAGAACAAGAACCAACAACACTCAGTATCAGACTAACTTGACATCCACATGGATGTAAATAATCAGCACCAGTTTGTTGATACTCGTACCGATCGAAAACCACAAGCAACCAAAACAGTATCTGTAATATATGCGTCACAAGGAACGATCATCATTCCAACCCAAAATGCCCACGTCTACACCATCTTCATACACACACACACTCAGAAAAAAACGCATGCAGAAAACTGCCTGTGGAATTTGCTTTTGCATCGACAGCTTCTCCCTAAATAGCTGGCAAGAAAGACTAGGATAAAGTCGATGAACCCCTTATGTTTAAGTATTAAACTCGATTTTTCCCTCAACGGCCTTATGTATAATATTAAATATGAAACTTTCTGTAAAACATTTTAATTTTATGTTCGACCTATACTGGTAGCTTACGTTCATCAGCTCGCTATGTTTTAAGTTTAGACCCACACTGATATTGGTATCGTACCATGGAACAACTGATTGTGTTTATGATTTTAAGTGTACATTTTTTGTGAATTGCTTGTTTTAGTATATGGTTTATTTTATGATTTATCAAATGAGTTATCTTAAGTAGAATGCGAATCTCATTGTACATGTCGAAGAAGAAGCGAAGCATAAGCAATAAGCGCATCACACACTCTCATACTCGAGCGCCCACACATTCCCCTTATTCCTATGCATAAATACATACAAACATGTAACGAAACAGAGTCATTGTAAGATTTGAAAGTGTGAAATTTGATAATAAACTACAAGTTTTTCATTTGAACCTACCTAACTATTAAGAGCGGCACCAATCTTGTCTCGAACCAAATCGAATGACCCCTGTAGGCTCAGAACTATATCAATGTCGGACAAGAAATGGGCGCGAGCAAGCAACCAAGAAACCCAATTATATGATATGCCATCCTGCACTTAGTTACTAGCCCCGCTATGCATGTGAACCCCCCAGAAAACACATTCGCCCACACACACCAGCCACTTGGAGCGAGAGTAGCCACTGCAACTAGGTTAGTCCAATGTACGAGTTTCGAAACTGTCGACAAAAATTGACAGCAAAATCTCTACAGCATACATTCAACTCCCTGTAATCTAAATCACTCACGGTACACAACTACATGTCATCATTGAATGGATTTTGATACCGATTTTAACTTGCATACTCGTACAACCAAAAACAAGAACTAGAACAAGAAAAACGTGAAGAGAAATTGAAATAAATTCTCCCTCGCCCGAGCAGTTGCATTTCAAACTTTGTACGTAGTTTAAAACTAGTTTTAGTCCGACTTAGAACAACCCAATCGCTAACTATATACCAACTTTCTTTCTATTTCTCTCTGTCTCTCCCGCTAATGCTATGTACTTATAGGTTAGACATTGTAACTATTGTAATCAACCCAATGCGTAAGAACCCGAGTGTTAAGTCGAACAGTAACACAGAAATGTACTATCCTCAAATGAGTAACTATCAGCCTACCAGTACACTGTCTCAACATTCACCACCACTACCCACTACCCACTTAGGAACTCAGTCGAAATCAAAAACCCAGTTGTGGCAGTCGCTTCACGTAGTTGCTAATTCCCGATCCGATCCGATCGAACCTTTCCGGAAGTCTTATCTTTAGTAGGTGGTTTAGTTTCATTTGGAGCAGTGCAGTGCCGTAGCCGCTAAGTAAAAATTTATGAGATAAAAATGAACATGAGATCGAAATCACATGGAATGATCAGAATGAATACGCTAATGAATTGTACAAGTAAGCTTTAAAGAATCGCTGGAGGAGCGCGGATCGGAGAACTTAGAGGAGGGAGAACCGCATTGCAATCGCAATTTGTGTCGTAGTCAGTAGTTACACGTTAAGCGGCGTCTTAACGTGTAACTAGTGCCTTACTAAAGATAAACGCATTACCTTAACCTTTATACAAATTTACTCAAAACATACTTGTGCCCCGTACCCCAAACATACGTTCCGCTTCGAAAGATACCCAGATATATATACGGAGTTACACCCCAACAATACAAGTATAACTACAAATGATATTGCGCCACACGCTATTTACACCAAAATACACCAAACAAATCGAGAAATGCATATTTTTCATATATTTAATTGTCAGAATAATATAACGTAATATGTAATATGTAGTTTATTTACTGTAAAACTCGAGAATCTAAAAGTGGAATTTGAATCACATACTATTGATGTATATTAGCTATTGAGTTTCTAAGCAAGCGTTAGACACTGAAATATATGATTCAAATATATACAATATGCGAAACCAAGCAAACTAAGGAAAACTGGAGTGCAAAAGAATATTATTCCACTTTATTTTACGACAAACGCTTTTTACAAATAAACCGAATCCATTTAAATTACTCGTAAAAGAACAGACAGATTATATTTAGCATTAGTTAAACTAATTATTACATGTACTAGAAAACCGAATGTCAACCGAGAATTTTCAGCAAGCTTGAGCGAATAATAAAACTTTAAATCTAACTATACTCCCGACTGTCTTTCTTGCACTTACTTTATGTTCTGAAAGACCGATTTCTAGGATTTCCTAAATGGGCGCGGAACTACGAAATCGCATATTATGGCAATGGAACGTGGAATAGTTTTACTTTAAGAGTTTCTCAATTACATTGCAACATTCATGCAAAATTTTGGATCAACGTACAATTTTAATATTAAAATATATCAGTGCAGTTTTTTTGCAACAACCTGGAATGTTATTTCTCAGCTATTTTATGCATAACTACCCTGATCGATTATCGACTTTGTTCCGCTGGTAGCACAATGTTTCCAGGTTAATTAATTTTTTTTATTCTGAAGGACCGTTAAAAAATTTGACATTTCGTCTAGTTCAATACCGCAACCCAATACCAATACCCAATACCGCAACCATTATCGATAGTTGTAAAAAATATCGATTCTCCACAAAATGGAAAAGACCAATACAATCTTAGTAAATACCGCTCAGTTTTGCCATTCTAAAAAGAGTTACAACATCATAATACAAATAATTTAATTAACTATTTACAATTTTTTATTTTAATTCGGGGTTTTTTAGGGAATAATAGCAGTTGGCGATGAACACATTGCAGTACCTGGTAACATTCTTTTTCATACCTGGCAATACTTCCAATCGGTGTTTTTTGACATAGAGCGTTAAATCTGCGAAAAAGTAACTTTTTGTTTGCAATGGAAGGCGCTGTTAAGCTTAACAATTCGAACGCCTCGCCGTTGCCACAACGCCAGCAAAGGGGCAATCCGACCAACATGAATCTGGGCAAGCACACAGGCCCCAAGCAAAATGCCGCCAGCGACGGTAATCCTGCTGAGAAAAAGCCAAGATTTGGAGCAAACAACCAGAACGGTGGCGGAGTAGCTGGTGGTGGCGGTGGTGGTGGTGCTGGTGCTGGCGGTGGTGGCGGACGCGGTGGATTCGCCGGAAATCGCAATCGAGGCGGCAACCAGAATCAAAACCGTCAGGGTTTCCAAGCTGCAAATAATGCACCTCAGAAGCAAATCATCGAATCACCGAAGTCGGCTGCGGGCAATGTGCCCGCAAAGAACAATGAACCCGCAGCTGCCAACCCAAGCCCGTCCAGCCAGAATACCAGCCAGGGTCAGGGCAACCAAGCAGGCCAGGGTAACCAAGGAGGACCGGGCTTCCGTGGTCGTGCCAATGGCCCGAACCAGCAGAATCAGAATGCTAGTCAGGGAAATCAAGGAGATCATGGAGATAAAGGAGGACCGGGCTCCAGAGGTCGTGGTGGTGGCCAAAACCAGCCGAATCAGAATCAGAATGCCAGCCAGGGTAACCAAGGAGGTAATCAGGGAGGACAGGGCTTCCGCGGAGCTGGATGTGGAAAACAGCAGCGCGGAGGCCAGCAGCGTGGAAACCGCGGCATGCGGTCTGGGGGACCAGGAGGCATGAACAACTCGTTATTGGGAGGCGGTGGCCAGCGCGGCGAGGACTTTTTCATTACCCAACGACTACGCAACATGGGTGGACCCACACATGAGTTGCCGCCTATTGAATTACCCTCCGAGGCCAAGTTCTCCGGACGCAACCGCTTGTATGTTGGCAACCTGACCAACGACATAACTGATGACGAACTGCGTGAGATGTTCAAGCCATACGGCGAGATCGGCGAGATCTTCTCGAACCCGGACAAGAACTTTACATTCCTGAAGGTAGACTACCACCCAAATGCTGAAAAGGCCAAGCGCGCTTTGGATGGCTCCATGCGCAAGGGACGTCAGCTGCGCGTCCGTTTTGCGCCCAACGCTACCATTCTGCGTGTGAGCAATCTCAACCAGTTCGTGACCAACGAGCTGCTGTACCAGTCCTTCGAGATCTTCGGACCCATCGAGCGCGCCATCATCAGCGTGGACGATCGTGGTAAGCATACCGGCGAAGGAATAGTTGAGTTCGCCAAAAAGTCCTCGGCCAGCGCCTGTTTGCGCATGTGCAACGAAAAGTGCTTCTTCCTGACTGCTTCGTTGCGTCCTTGTCTGGTGGAGCCGATGGAGGTGAACGACGATAATGACGGCCTGCCGGAGAAGGCGATAAACAAGAAGATGCCCGACTTCTGCCAGGAGCGGAGTATCGGACCGCGTTTCGCCGATGTGAATTCGTTTGAGCACGAGTATGGATCTCGCTGGAAGCAATTGCATGATCTGTTCAAGAGCAAACAGGACGCACTCAAGCGTGAGCTGAAAATGGAGGAGGACAAGCTGGAAGCCCAGATGGAGTACGCCCGCTACGAACAGGAGACCGAACGCCTGCGCCAGGAGCTGAGGAAGCGCGAGGTGGACAATGAGCGCAAGAAACTGGAGTGGGAGATACGTGAGAAGCAAGCTGAAGAGATGCGAAAGCGCGAGGAGGAACACATGCGTCGTCACCAGAGCCAAATGCTTCGCCAAGAGGAGGACATGCGAGCCCGTCAGCAGGAGAGTGAATTGCTTATACAAGCCCAGCAGCTCAACATGATTCTCGACCAGCAGGAAGGATTCGGAGGTAGCAACTCTGGATTCGAAAACTTCGTCGAATCCCCTTTTGAGGTTTTTACTAATAACAGTAACAATTCCGCAATGGTTGGAATAAATTCTGGACCTGGAGGACCAGGACCAGATTCGAATTTTGAGTTTGGAGCTGGCGTTAACCAACGCGGAAACAGTGGCGTTGGAAACAGTGCTCCATGGGGACGCCGACGCTTTTAAACATGGAAATCAATATAGATAGCGATCAGAAAAGCCGTAATCTCATTGATTACGCTTAATATTTGACATTTTGCTCGGCTATGAGTGAACAACAGAGAATAACAAAGGGATCGTGTAAGCAAACATGCATTCTCATTATAATAACAATTGAATTTAAATAATTTTAAAAAATATAATGATATCATCGGTCTCAACAAAAAATCCACCACGAAGTAATAAAAGAAAATGACAAAAAAAACCTTAAGAAACATACAATCCAAACCCAAACGGCATGCTTACAAGATGTGCAGTATTTCGAAGAAAATCACCTGATTACCATTCATCTTTTAATCATTACGTGCATCTATTTATTCATTACGATAATTTTAGATATATGTAGTGACTATCTCCAGTAACATGATTAATTTGTGTCTATCATTCACATTAAATATATGAAGATACGACTAAAATTACTGATTATTCGGAGGCGAATTTAGATAAGGGGTCTACTTTTTAAGGTATATATATGTATATAAGGTATGTATATACTTTGAGTTATGAGTATCTAATCGAATAGCGGACTTGCGTTTTGCAGCGCATCTTTTAAATAAAAGCACTTAAGCCTCCACGGGAATTTAAATTAGTAAATGTATATGCGTTCAAGCTGAAAAGTCGGAATATCCCAGCAGCTCCAAGTTTAGAAGCCACATTTCTGCTGGTGTCTTCACTCCCAAGGCGCTGTCCTTATTTTGTGTCAAAATGCAATCTCTTGTTCAAGCAAAAGAATTTATTTGGTAAACAGAATTATCTATTGTATGAACCTCCTCCCATCCACACTGCAATTATACAATTGTATTGACCGCAAGCAATCAAAGATTTCAGTCGAATAACCCGGGCAAAGACAATAAATTTTAATTTTCACTCTTTATTTTGCCCAGACGTATTATGTGCCTCCATTAACACATTTTTGCAGCTTACCATTGTTTAAGCTCAAGACAGTTAAATACAAAATTCTTTTACAGTAAATTTTAGTCACAATCGAAAACTGTTCAGATTAGGGTTTTAATTTTTTATCTATTAAGATGTATAGTTATAACAATTTATCTGCACATAACCTTTTCTTTTTTCAAGATTTTATAAATATATAAGAGGTGCTGGTTTTGGGTTCGTAGTCTAAGTAAGCCCAGTGGACGCTGCTGATTTACTTGATTAACTAACAAAAGCCAAAATGATGCTATGCCTCCCATTTTTCTAGTTTCAAATTAAATAATACGGGTTCAACACTATATTATTCAACTGACTAAACTATATGCATTTGTCTACTTATTCTTCTGCTATTTTAATTATATCCCATTACGCCTTTATGTTTATGAAAAGTCCTGATATGTTATGTCGAGATTTTTATGTAGGGTTCTGTCAAGACTAAAGAAAAACGTAGGCCCAAATGTCATTTTAATATAAGCTGGCAACGGATTTTAGCCAAAACAATACAAGATTTTTAAAACTTTACATTTTTGAAAACAGAGTTATAAAAAGGAAAAAATCGATAAATTCAGTGGAAGAGTACAATCGCCGTTTAAATAAAGCAACCCCTAGAACGGTCTTTTCGAAGTGTTGAACAACGGTCACACTGCGAATTTGGCGACTTCAAAAAAAAACACCCAAGAAAATTGATTTTTCGCTCAAACGGAAAGCAACACCTTTGGGCATCATCTACATTTCTCGGAATAGAACTCCGATCGCCTAGTAACAAAGTAAAGCCAGCATGGCAGCATCACAGGTCGACCAGGTGAGCGACGGGCGGAATTGCCAAAAGCTTTCCGGCCGGAAAACGTCGTCGCCATTGTGCAGAAGCCCCGTGAACTAATATCACAATAATTTAAAATTTTCCGGCAGAAACGAGCCCTCAACAAGTTGAAGCACGACTTGGAGCCCTTCCGGACAGCCATCGTGGGAGCGTACGGCGTGCTCACCTGGGAGAAGCAGTACTACGCCGGAGTGGTGTTCGGCGCCATCAGCGTCCTGTACCTGGTACTGTGGTACCTGGACCTCTCGCTGATTACGCTGCTGTCGCTCCTCGGACTCATTAGCATTTTACTGAACTACGTATTTCCCACGGTGTCGCGCCTGCTCTTTGGCGGAGTTAACTGGGATGGCGACCAGGAGGCCAAGTTCGAGGATGTTTGCGGCCAGGTGTGCGCCGTCAAGGGCAGCCTGGTCGTTTGGTACGAGTACCTTTTCAAGGAGCGAAAGTCCACTGTGGTGAGTAAGCGCGGTACAGATGTGTACATATACTTGAAAACAGCAGAGCAGTTTTAGAGCCTAGTAGATGCAGCAGATCCTCTTCTGCAAATCTAAACTATGATTTATTATCAAATCTGTAAGACTAACTAACTTGTTGGTTCCAAAGCAGCCACAGTTCCATATTATTTTATCTCACACATTTGCGTTTTAATTCCAGTTTGTAATCGTTATAAGCTTGGGTCTTCTGGCTATTGCCTGGATTGGGGCCATCATCAACAACCTACTGCTAATGTACCTAGCCACCCTACTCATCGTCATGTGGCCAGGGCTACAGAACAAGGACGTTTTCAAGGCCGTCACTCAAACGGCCTCGAAGATCATCAACGAGAAGATCCAGTGCGGCAAGAGGAAGCTGCAGTAAAGGAAACCCTATCTCAAACAAGCAGATAAACTCATCACCATTTGACCAAAAATATAAAACAAGCCTAAGTCATCTACTTGCCATTGTGCACGCATCGCATCACTAAATCACACATTAAAAGCATTGAATTTGAAACTATGATATGATATGATATCTTAAAAGATAACAGAAGCGTATAAAGGGTATTATCATCGGAAAACTAGCAAATCCCGTCATGGTTCTGACCCCATCACATCTCCTACTATAAGTTTGTAACATGTAAGACAGAAGGAATCTCGAAACGAGGCGTACGGGGAGAGAAAAAGAACGCGCAACAAAAGACAAGGCATTTTTGTGATTATTTTGTGAGTTAATTGAAATTTATGATAATCCCAAGTAAAATACAAATCAACTTAAGCGTCTAATGAACTATATTTAAATAAAGATTTCAACTGAATAGATCAATCACTGCCGGTCTCTTGACCTTGACCGCGTGCGGGATCTGACGTGCTTGCTCCTCTTGGTTTTCTTTTTGTGCTTGCTGGGGTGCCGACGATGTTTTCCATCAAGGCTATCATTGCTCTCCAAACTAGAGTCGTTGTCCGCCTTCCTCAATTTGTTTTTAGACTTCTTTGAGTGTTTTCTTGACATTCGGCTGGATGATTTCTTCTTGTGCTTCCTGCGTTCATATGCAGAGTCTGAGTCGCTCTCGGTGGACTCTCCCGTATCGTCCGCCTCGTCTGAACTACTCTTTGCTCTTCTGAGGCTCCGGGGACTTTGCGAACGCCTACGGTCACGGTCCTCCCGATTAGATTTCGGTGGGCTTCTGCCTCTGGGGCTCGGTGAACGACGACGGTCACGATCGTCGCGCTTAGATATGGAGGAGCTACTACTCCGTGGGTCTTGCATATACTTCTTTTCTCGATCCCCCTCCTCTTTGTAAGATTTGGCTTCTTTGTATGATTTTCCCTCGTCTTTGTACGGCCTGCGATGCTCCTCTTTGTACGGATTTTTATCTTCATCTTTGTAGCACCGTTTATCATCTTCCTTGTATCTCTTGCGATAGTCATCTTTGCTGGACCTCTGGTCCTCCGACTTCAGGCTCTTGTGATCTTGAGCTTCGTCTCGATGTGATCTAATGTCTTCCCGGTGGTCCCTTCTTGCTGACGGATTTTCCTGCTTTACAATAATCTGGCCATGTTCGTTTTCACATTTTTTGAACTCTTCATATTTGGCAGTGTCTGAAAGTAAGTGTAAAAATATCAGACATTTGAAACATTTGATTTTCCCAGCTCCACTTACTTATGCACTTGCCATACTGAGAGTACTCTTTGCGGGATACGGGTTGACAAAGGAACTCGTTGAAGGCCTCTTTGACTCCTCCAATAGCCATTTTGACAATAACTCGCCCTGCATGGTCATCGAAGCCTTGGATTTGGCCATACTGATCTTTCTGCTTTCCGCCCAAGATGCGCACGTATGCCTGCTTCTTGATCTCCAGTACCTCGTTCTTTTCCGGCTGGACCATTAGAGCTTTAGGTTTGAGTGCCTTATCTGCTCCCAGGCCCATGCCTTTGGGTCGCAGAAAGGGGGCATCATCAATGGGTCCTGAACCCTTCTTTTTTGGCGGTGGGTCAACCCAGCCCATGCCCCGCAGCATAGCCAATCCAAATTGTTGAATAGGTATGTTGTCATAGTCATCTAGGGTGGCCTCCTTCGCACCATCGAGAGGTAGTTCGTCTGCTTTTAGGGCGGGCAGGACAAGTTTCTGGCCATCTAGGCTTTCGGCCCCGTTGCTTTGACTGGCAGATATTAATTCTCGTGCTGCTCTCTGTTCCAGACTTTCCGTTGGACCGCCTGCGGTAACCTCAGCTATAGACTGGGCCGCCGGAGTCACCTCCTCTGGATCCGGTTCCTCCTCGCCCAGCAGAACTGCCCGCCTCCTCATTAGGCTCGCCAAGGCGGATGACGTTTTCTGCATCCCGATCATTTTGATTGTAAGAGGAGCAGCTGTCACTTTCTCGCTAAAAGTTACATATAAATATAGAACTGTTTTGAGATATTTTAACTTACGCGACTGGCATAATTTCGTTTCCTTCCAAACATTTTATCAACTCCACCTTGCTTTCCTCTTTTTGCTGCTTGCTGGGGAGAATATTTGGTTTCTTGGACAACTTACTAAAGCCAAAAGATATCTTTTTGGCCTCCATGGCTTAGTATTGTTATATAGTTAATAAACTAATAACTATTAAAAACAAATTGACGCCAAAATTGAGCGTAAACAAACAGGCGCCAGCTGATTCGCGAATTGTTATCGATATCGATAATTTATTTTACTTATGAAGCGCATACACTACACTTTTAACTAGGGATGTCGTGATATTAAAAAATATCGTATCGATGATACGATGAGCGAACAGGAATTCCAGAAGGTGACCAACGATCATTTGGTTTTCGGTAGCAACCTGCAGCTGATGGTAATCCAATCCGAAAAATCTACAATTTGAAAGATTTTTCGGTTTGAATTACCAGGCGAACAGGAATTCCAAAAGGTGACAAACGATCGTTTGGTTTTCGGTAGCAACCTGCTGCTGATCATGATCGCCTGGCAATTCAATCCGAAAAATCTATAATTTACCATAAATATTTACATTTTGTGCGCAAAATTGTAAGATTTTTCGGTTTAAATTATTAGACGATCATAATTTCAAACACTTGTATAAATAACACTTACCTGGTTATTTGTTTAAGAGGGATGCCAATGTGATCTTGCAAGTAATCAAGAACGCATACACTACTACACATACACTACATTCACTGCTCGAC